ATAATGTGGTATATATACAGAATCTGCCAATAGTATACATAAGGAAAAGAAAAACTGGTCTAAAATATTAATACTGAACTACAGAGTCCACCCAAAAACATGCACGCACACTTCAGGAAAAGAAAAATAATACGATGTTATTTCAATACATAGTTTTGCCCTCACCTGGGGGAACCCAGAGGATGTCGTGCATCACAGAAGTCACTGCCGGCCAGCCCTTAGAGAAGAAATGAAAATGCATGTGCGGCAATCTCAATGACCAAGCAGCAGTAGAGCGTACTAATAAGTGTGTGGAAGCTAACAGACCCCACTTTGAGCAGCTCTTGTATTACAGAGACCAAAGGTAACTTGTATTAATCTCATGATGTCTCAACAAATTTAGAATTAAAATATCCATGCAAGTTTTCCTTTTCCTGAAGTACGTACACATTTTTTTGGCAGACTATATTCTACTGGTTGATGCACACACACACAGGTAACACATGTAATGAAATATTATTTAGCCTTTAAAAAGAAAGGAATCATGCCATTTACAACAATATGGATGAACCTGACATTATGCTAAGTGAAATAAGCCAATCTTAGAAGGATAAGTATACAGCACAATTCTCAAAAGAGGTATCTGAAATAATCAAACTCATGGAAACAAAGAATAAAATGGTGCTGGCCAGAGACTGGGGAAGGGAGCCTCAGGGAACTGCTGCTGATCAGTAGATATAAAATTTCAGTCGCAAATCTAAAGATCTGCTACGGTGGGACAGTGAACCTACAGAAAACTACACCATACTACATAACTAAAAGTTTTTAAGAGGGTAAATGTTCCTACCACAACAGAATTTTTAAAAGTCAATTTCCTGAGGTTTCTACTATGTATGAGTCTACTGATACCTTTATCATTCATCTGAATTAATACTGTACTTTCCCAAAACATACTAATAACCTTGTTTGACAACCTTCCTCAGGCACCTACATTCTTTTTCAAAATTTTCTTCACTATGATCACAACATTATTCTTTCAAATTGATTTTAAATTCATTGCTTCATCCCAAAATGAGAGTAATATATAAATGTGTGGAACATGATGTGGTGTATTAAATTTATGATGTAATTTGATGAAGATACATTTTCAATATTTAGTATTCTCAGAAAATAGCGCTTTTACTCAAATTATTTTTTTTTTAATTATCTGTTACGACCTTCAGTAAACTGCATCTCTCTAAACAAGTCCTACAAACTTCCTGTTAAGCTGATTCCAAGACAGCTAAAATTTTTGGCAAATATAGACAGCTTTCTCCCCCTCGTTTTTCAGAATGGTTACGGCAGATTTGTGGAACCAAACACTTACAGGTACTCAAGAAGTTTTGGATTTCAGAGTATCTTGGACTTTGGATTTTCAAATTAGGATACCTAACTTGTAATAGTACTGGTACTAGGTACTGTGTGTGCTGGGCTATTTTGTTTACTCCCCTAAATCCTAAGCCCACACAGTGCTTCTCCTGAATCCACACTTAAGACTGGCCTAAATGGACTGCATCCAATTAAAAGTAGTCCAAAAAAAGGCGCTGAAAAAGATAAATTGGGAGGAGAATAAGGCTCACTAATTCCACTGGGTCCACTCTATCAGGTCACCTCATGGAGCAGCGTCCTTCTGCCTCAACTCTTCTGAGATCTGTGTCTCCTACAGCCACAGCCACCCTCTCCAAGATCCCGGAACAGAACTCTTTCTTTTACATTTGCTATATCCCCAGGGCAATTATATTCCAGTGAGCAACATATACACCAAAAAACCCAAACTCCCTCTTTTGGCTCCTTTCTTGGGAAAAATGATGAATCATCTTTTCTTTCTTTTTTTTTTTGGTACCGGGATTGAACTTGGGTCCTTGTGCTTGCAAGGCAGGCCCCAGAACCATTGAGCTAAATCCCCAGTCTGATGAATCATCTTATGTATATATGAGATCATCTTACATTCATGTTTAAGGTAAAACATGCAGTAAGTTTTAAATAAAATGTTAGTAACTAACACCCTTCTCTTCAAAATACTTTAATTATACTTTCATCTCTTTGATAGAGGATTTATTTATGTACTTAGGAGACCACTTACTAAAAAAAGAAAAGAAAACATTAAGCCTTCTTCACAAGCACAAGGTCCTGAGTTCGATCCCCGGTACCAAAATAGAAAAAAAAAAAAGGAGAGCACTTATTCATTTAGAGCTTTCTGGTATTCCTCTCCGTGCTGAGAGAATGAAGTCTGTTTTTTCCATCACCACCACCACCCAGCCCTCCCAGCCCTCTGCATGCTGCTCTTTCATTCCCACAGCCCTTGTCACCTTTTAGCATTCTGTATTATCCATCTATTCACTAGGTGATAGTTTGTCTTCCGTCCACTGCCAACTCCTTGAAAGGCGCGTCTTTACCTTACTGAAGGTCCCAAGTGTGCACTCAATGTCTGACAGGTAAACGGACAGCATCCGGGTCCGTCCCTGGTTGCTGTCACAATCTTCGGTGGCACCTCCTCAGCTCTAAATGCTCTTTTATTTCACTTCAATCTCTTGTCCAATTTCATTGCTCATTATTCATGTTTCCCTGAACTCACATTTTTTCAAATACAATGCCAAAACAAATGCCAAATTTACTTGCTTTTCCTACAGGAATTCCTTACAAACATAAGACTTCCCATAAGCATGTAACTTTTTATGAAGGATAGTTTTGCTTAAGCCCTGTTTAATTGCTCCATATCTGTTTCTGAGCCTAGTTCTTGCTGAAAAAGTATAAATCCCGCCTAGGTCTTCCCTTTACACCAGCATATGCTTAGAACTGTCCTTGGATCTTCAGTTAAGGGGTCGAGCAAAAATTCTGTTCCTCCATCTATGCTTCAGGAGCCTGAGTGGGAAAAGAAAAGTAGTGACCATTTGGGCCATGGATGATCTCACAGGGAATCAATCTCCACCTGTATTTGTTAAAAATGACCATCTCTTGCCGGGCGTGGTGGCACATGCCTGTAATCCCAGCACTCAGGAGGGAGAGGCAGGAGGATTGCTGTGAGTTCAAGACCAGCCTGGGCTACATAGTGAGTTCCAGGTCAGTCTCAACTACATAGTGAGACCCTGTCTCAAAAAGCAAAAAACAAACAAACAAAAAAAATGATGACCATCTCTCACAAAACTAGGTCCAGAGGTCCCATTTGACCCTGCTATTCCCCTGCTGGGTCTCTTCCCCAGAGAACTAAAAATATTAAGGCAGATACTCTATTAGACTAAGGAAAGTTATGAGTTCTCACAGGTTGTTCTCAAGTAAAAACTTTTCAAATATAGACAAATTTTAGTAAAACTTAGAATATAAATGACAAATATATAAGACCTAAATTTACCCTGATCTATACCTTTGCCCCCTGATCTTTTGCTGATATCTCTGAAATTGCTGGTGAACGTATTTTATATGTTCTTATTTTGCTCTTCAGTTTTAAATTTGTATACATTTCATTGTGTTATGTTAATCTTTTTCATTGCTGGAATAAATTTGTTTAGGTTAAAAAAAAAAGAATTAAAAGAATCATTGCACAGGGACATATGCACACCCATGTTTATAGTGGCTCAGTTTGTTATAGCTAAAACTTGGAAACAGCCCAACTGCCCATCGACTGGTAACAGGATAAAGAAGATGTGGGTTTTTTTTTTTATAAAATAGAGTATTACTCAGCCATAAAGAATGAGAAATTAGTGACACTTATAGCTAAATGGATGCACACTGAGGTCATACTTAAGTGAAATAAATAAGAGATGCGTAAATACCAAATAGTTTCTCTGGTATGAGAAACTGTAAGTGTAAATAAGGATCAAAATGTAGAACAGATAATGTGAACTAGGAAGATAAGGCCCAAAGGGGAAGGGAAAGTGGGAGGGGCAAGGGAGGGAAAGGAATAAATAGGAGAAAAGAAAAAAATGGAAACAAAGTCTTTGTAAAATAGGGAGGGATGGAGAGATTGAAGGGAGGGCAGGGGAATGGGGAAAAAAATAAGAACCAAGTTATAGCATGTAAAGGTACAGATTCCCGATGATGAATATCATATTGTACACCTAAAATGTACCAATAAACTTAATGAATCAAAATAAATAAATAAAAGATGACCATCTTGCGCATCTAATTTTCAATCAGGCTCAGCTTCTCTATTCCACCCATGTTCAGCATTCTGCTCAAGGTGCTGCTGCAAAGTCAGAAAAGAGACTTGTTGCATTTTGATGAATCTGCATCAAAGAGGAGGAGGTCTAGCCCTAGGCCCTCTATTGTAATTACTTTTGAATGCCTGTCTAGAATCAGATCACAGGTGACAAGGTGGCTGAATGGTAAACCCCATGGACTGCTAAAAGCAGATCAGAGGTTTCCACCCAGACCCGATTTCAAATCTCAGTCAGGAATCCAGGTGTGTGGTTCACTTTCCACACCCACAGTGGGCCGGGTACTTTCATTTCATTAGATGGTGGAGAATTAAGAGTGTGGATACCTTTGAGGTGGCCTCAACAGTGTCTACACATAAAAAAGAGCTTAATAAATGCTTACTCTTCTTCTCCCCATCTCTACATAACCTCCTACTTTTTATCTCCAAAAACAGAGGCTGTTCTGAGAAATATGTCAAGATTTGCTTTTGCTGAAAGTGAGTATGATGTACTTTCTCGAACTGGTTTGTGGGTACACTTTGGATACAGTCCGATACAATCCAACACAATCTGTACTCAAAGTAGCAGTATATGTTCGCATGCTACTATATTCTTTTGGTCTATCTATGGCTTACAAAAGTGTATAGTTACATTTAGGCCAACAAAAAAAATGTTTCCTTCCAAAAGCTATCTGGAATTACTTAATTAAAAAATAGGTTTCTCACTGATGAATTTCAGGGAATCAAGAACGACTCTTCCTATTTTTTCATCATAGACTAATGTAGTCCTCAGAATGTAAGAAACCCTGGTCTCCAACACCACAGCATGAAGGAAGAACTCATCACTCACGATGCTCCTGAATTCATGATGCAGCTCTTTGCTCCACATAAACAATCTCTCCCATCATCGTGATTCATTCCAAGGTTGTGACCCAGCTCGTGAGCAACAATGGACGCAAAGGTCTCCACAGTGATTTGCCCAAACTGTCCAAACACAGGAAGGCAGCGATTAGGCTTCTGAACAAAAAGGAAGTGTTTCGTCTCTCAGATTTGTTTTTCCCACAAAAGGAAATTTATGCTCTAAATATTGACAGCCTGTATGAATCTAGCATCCAGTAATTCTAAACATCTCAGTCTAGTAGGAAAACAGTATGACTCACATTCTGATAGCAGAGACAGACCCATTAAGCAATAGATCAATCACTTTAACCCCAACAGATTGAGTACTCAAAATAGTTTATGGGAAAACAAGTAGGTGATTCCAGCAAGTCTTTTGAATAGACTGTCTTCTCAATCTTAAAAGATGCTAATAAACATAATAAAAGTTTGGAAAGTTGATCCAGTGTCTATGAAAAGAACACATTTTGTTTCTACTGTGCCCCTCATAATATCTGAAATTCTGTTTTAAGGGTGAGGGAAAGTGTACAGAGTCAATAAATCAATAAATACTGCCCTAACACAGACACCCAAAGGTGAGTATCGAGAACAGCGTACCACATTGATCCCGCCTGCATGGCTCCTTGAACACACTGTGCCCACAAATGCCATTCCTGCAGTCCCACCAAAGCCTTTCTTTCTAAATGAAAAGGTAAAAGTTATAACATGTACTTGTGAAAAGGGAACACATTATTCCTATTTCTCAAGGTAATGTCAAATGGATTGGCAAAACCTACAAAAAACTGGGCAAAAACCGGCAATGACAAGTAACAATTTCCAAACGAGAACAGACAGCTCTGTCTTTCCTCCGGCCCGTTATCAGAAAAATGAGACTAATATTACAAATGCGTTTTAAAGTTTTTTCCGACACATTTTTAAATACACTAAGCCAAGTTCTTTGTTTTTTAAGCTTCCACATGAAAAACTTTCTGTAAATGTATTGCATTTGTTTGTTCAACAAATTTCCATTAGGAAAAGTAACAAACTCAGGGAATTTATCACAAGAGGCTGCAAGATGTGGAGCAATTTTACTGAAAATTAATTTTAAAACTCAGGATTATGGGCCTACAAAAGCCTATTTAGTCATTCTCTGTGTCTTGCTTTAAATCAAGCCAGATTCACAAGAGAAAACAAAAACAAAATAAGTAAAAAAAAAAAAATTAATGGGAAAAAAACAGGAAACGTCAGAGGACCAGGACAAGACACCCAATAGCCCAATGAAGGTAATCCCTGAAGAAATGAATAAAAATAAAATAAAAGACTAAATCACCTATTTAATAATTCAGTAAAAACTCTAAAACTGAAGGACTTAAGTTTCCAGATTGAAATCACCCAAGAACATAGTACAGTAATTGACAAAAGACCTACCCAAAACCATCATCAAGAAAACTCAGAAGCCTGAGAGGCAACAGAAAATCCTACAAGTTATCACTGACAATGAAACACTACGGGACACATACAAAGGACCAAGAATAAAATGGTTTTAGGCTTTTGAGAGATATATTGGTGTCTGCAAGTTTAACTTAATGGCAGAGTGCTAGGCTACCAGGTGCAGACCCTCAGTTTGATTGGGGGGTGGTTACTAGAAGTCCGAGGACAACAGCACAGAGCCTTCGAAAATGCCTAGAGCTAGGGCTGTAGCTCAGTGCTATAGACCTTGCCCAGAGTGCAAGACGCACAGGGTTAGATCTCCACACCACCTGTGAAAGACTGAGGATTAACCAGAGCTCAAACTGAGATGTCTTTAAATTCTGTTCTGAAAACACATTTTCAGATATGCAGAGGGTCAAAATTTTTTCATTCTATATATCCTTTCACAAAAAGCAACTAAAAAATATGCTATAGCAAAATAAGAACATAAACTCAAGAAAGGAGAAGGACATGGGATAAAGGGGAGGGGAAACCTAACACAAGAGAAGTCTCGTTATCGTAACATCATGTCCTATGTTATCAAACAACTAAGCTTTCCTCATTTAAATAAAGGCAAAAAACCCTGAGAACACACACACACACACACACACACACACACACACGTTTAGCATATTAAGCAAAGGGTTTTTTCTCATCATTTCATTCACAGTACTTTTCCTGAAGAACACTTACAGAACTAACTGCGCACTGTCGTGTCTCCGACGTGTTATAAGAAACTTTTCCCGCCATTGGACAAAGTTCCCCAACACATCACCAGCACCCCCAGCTATACTGATCAGGTTTCCCTTTGTCCAAATCTCCAGTCCAACTAGCACAACTCGGATATTTAACATAATATACATCTGGGAAGAAAAGAGAAAAGTACAAAATATACATTTTAAAATGAGAAAAACCTTTTAACCATATGAAGTAACATAACTACTTAAGAGCTCCCTCTCTCCAAAACACAATCTTTCCCTCAATATACCCTAACTTCTCAGAAGTCTCAAAAATGATAATTAAGAGTTTCATAAATGGTACATAACTGAGATGCAAAAATTCTTTGTATCTCCCATTCTAAAACCTGACAGCTCTGAAAATTAACTTCTTGGCGAACTTTGTTCCCAAATCACCCTGGAATAACGCAAGGCTACTCATATTCTGTTTTTATCCCATTACCACAGTTTAGATCTGGAATGTTCCCCACAAGCCAATGTGTTGGAATCTTGGTCTCTGGCATAAAACTATAGGGAAACAGTGGGAAAGCAGTGGAACCTAAGAGCTGAGGCCTAATGGGAGAGGCCTTGAAGGGACTGTAAGCTCACCCCTTCTTCTTCCTCACTTTTGCTTCCTAGCAACGAGATGAGTGGTTCTACACACGCCTGCCATAATGTACTATCTCGTCACAGGTCATCAACAATGGAGCGAATGGAACACAGACCGAAACTTTCAAAACTGTAAACCAAAATCTTTGTCAAGAAAAGTTAATGATCTCCGGCATTTTGTCACTGTGGTGGAACACAATTAAGGTAACTATTCATGCCTTGCACCGCAGAAATAAACCAAGGTGATCACAAAGTGCTGTCCCATAATCCTCTTGGAGGTGTTATATAATACACAGTAAACCATAAAACCTTCCTAAATGTTTATATAAAATCCTAATCACAATGCAAAGATTTCAGGTAAAGGACTGTGGAATTCATATCTACTTCACAGAGGCACTGTGAGGAACACATGAGTCAGTGAAACAAAGAACTGGCTCTATTTCTACTACTCAGTAGAATGTCAACATTATTACCACTGTCACCATCATCATTCCGGATGTTCGTATCAGGGAAATGCATGCCTTATAGGCAAAATTATCTCATAAACTATCACCCACGAGATAACACGCAATACCTAAAACTAAATCACATACATATAATTACATAATTAAGACTGACATCATAGTTTCAGGGGAGGAAGCAGCCTCGTGCAAAATAAGATTCTTTGAATAAAAATGTAAAGATCTTTTCATAAAAAAACAAAGCGCCTGAGTCTACTAATATGAAATATTTTATTTCTCAGTCTTTTTTATACTTGTATATTTAGAAAAACCATCTTTGAAAGACTGAGTCACATAAGCCTATGATAATTAGAACTCAAAATGAGACAATTTTTTAATTCTGTTCTGAGACTACAAATGATTGGGCAGAACAATCCTATTGGAAAGAAAATAAACTTACACTATCCAAGTAGTTTGCTAAATGAATCATTTCTTCTCTCACAGCAGTCTGATTTCCTCCCATCATGTCATACTGTAAAAGGAAAGAAGATAAATCATTATTATTAGCATAAGAATATCTATAATCTGCTATACTGAAGATAAGAATCTAAATATTTCCTCTAAACTAAAAATTGAGGCATTTAGATATTTACCAACATCTCAAATTAATAAATCTAAATGATCTAAATGATCCAAGTTAGTGATAAATAAGAATAAAAGAAAAACAGGCCCATGTGTCAAATGAACAGAATGAAGTCTTCATTTTCTTCAAATTAGGGTAACTATTTCCTCTTAATGTTCTTTTAATTCACTTTAATACAAATACTTTTTCAAGCATTTCCCAAATGTATCGCTTTAAATAATCAAAATGCAGGGCTGGGGATTTAGCTCAGTAGTCCCACCACCTGCTTTACAAGTGTATGGTCCTGAATTCCAACCCTGGTACCAAAAAAGAGAAAAAAAAAAAAAATGCAAAAATAAAGAAATAAAAAGCAATCTAATAGATTTCCTGATCCTTTCATATCTTAGGCTAATGACAACACCAATAAACTACTCCTAAACCCTATGCTAAAATAACTATGAGAAACTAGCTAATGGTCATACATTGAAAACTTATATGTGGATAGAAACACATATATAAGTTTGACCATATTTAAGCAAAATAACTGATATGGCTAAAGCTTTTCTGAGAGTCCTAGTTAAATTCTATTGAACATTACTTTATACAACCAACATACTAACCAAAGAAAATTTTAAAAAAGATTTTATAACTTTGCTCTATGATAAAATGTCAGTATCAGAATATATTAGTTCATCAATTAGGCATATTACCATGATTCTCCTACACAATAAAAAAATTAATATATTTGACAGGGCTTGATGAAAGAAATGGAACCATTTTTATCTTGAACCATTTTCTACCTCTGTATTACAAATCTATTTGGAGACAGCAATACAGAAAAGCATTTTAAATCTCTATTTTTGATAATTGGATATGCCTAAATAGTGTGCATTCCAAAGTAGTCACCTAGAAGTTGTGTGTGTAAAAAGTACACTCCACTTAAAAGGACTCTAATTTAAAAAAAAAATAGTTTCTTATACTAATAAGCTAACTGGATATGTTTGGCTCTCTACATTTTCCTTGTAAAAGTCTATAACCAATATTCGTTAACATTCTATAGGGTGGGACTTCTAGCAGACAATCTGAGCCATGTTTTGATGGTGGACCATCGCATACAAGACAGACAGAATGAGACACTGACATTCAATATCCAGAAGAAACTACAGCTGTCAAAATTAGAATCCACTACTCATATTCCTAAGGAAGTCAGAGACTTATAAGTTACTTTTTGCTAAACACTATGACTTCACTTGGATCTGCAAATGTCCAATAGGTAACTAAAAGTAGAACAAAGTTTAACTTTAATTTTGTGAAGCTCCGCCGTCAAGCCTTTCTGAGCTCTCCAGATAAGCATGATAGTCATTCAGGGAATATCTGTCTAAAAGTGACAAGGCAGGGGTTATTGGTCCTAAAATTTACTTATCCTATCTTACTACCTACCCTTCAAGAATGAAAACACCAAGGAAACAGATCTGCAGGAACACTCAGCTAGCCCAGGAAGTCTGCAGCCATTGTCCCAAACCTGCGATTACCTGCATTCCAGGAAAAGTGGAACCTGACATGACTGAAACCTCCAGAGACCATCCTTTCATGGGAACAGAAATACTCTGCAGCTGTAAGCATTCCAGAGCTATAAACCAGGACTGAGATAAACATCAGCTGGGTCCCGGCCCACCAGCTCATCCTCAGAAGCTGGCCTCTGACCCTCCCCAGTGCACCAGCCCAGTGCCCTTCTCCAGAGTTACTGCAGTTACTATTTAATCTGGACTTCTTTCCTATTTTTGTTACTTTCCTTTGTTACAGTCTGGCGTGATCTTTGTCAGCTCCCTCAAGCTAAAGTCCCTTACCATTTTCTCTTACTTTCTTTTCTAAACAAAGCTTTTCTCAAACAAACAAATCAATCAATTTATCTCTGTTTTTTGTGACTTGTCCAAAATATCCTACACAAATATCTTACCACTCTTGAAGTCATGGGTGTAGGCAAGGATTTTTTTTTTTTAACAGAACCCCAGTTGCACAGCAAATAGGGCCGAGAATCAACAAATAAGATTATGTCAAATTAAAAAAGCGTCTGCACAGCGAACGAAGCAATCAACAAAGTGAAAAGACAATCTACATAATGGGGAAACTGTTTTTGCCAGGTATTCCTCGGAGGGCTTACATCTAGACTATATAAAGAACTCAAAAAATTAGACCCTCCTGCAAATAAAAGATTCAGTCAAAAAATGGGCAAGCGAGGGCCAGGGATTTAGCTCAGTGGTTCCACTGCCTTCTTTGCAAGCGTAAGAACCTGAGTTTGATCCCCGGTACAAAAAAAAAAAAAAAAAA